ATAGGGAACATGTTGTGACACTCTCTCGCATGGGCAACCCCCACCCTCATGTGAAGAGGTAAGACATAACTGAAAACATAACAAGTGCACTTATGGCACAAATTCGGCGGAATCAATTATCAAATTAATGAAATTAAAGATATAGTTTTCTCCAAATCCTCCCAAACACCAGGTCTTATACCATGTTAAAGCATTCAACTCAACTAATCAACAATAAGTAAAGAGACCTCTTTGATGTATATTCAAGTTTGGGTGACCCTAATTATTCAAAGTGGTATACCACTTATTGGGGAAACCGAGGGAATCCCACACCAAATGCCTAGCATATATGGTTGGAACTAGAAGTCAATTAAAAGCTCAAGCTCATAAGCAATGAGCACATCCAATAATTAACATAGGTTTGTTAGTCATTGGCTCTAATATCACTTGTTAATGAGAAAGGAGAGTCCACCACAATAAACCCAACATACCTGGTTGGAACTTAAACCCCACCTAAAAGCTTAAACCTATAAGTAATAAGCTCGTTCATAGTAATATTAAGGTCTCGCCAATTATTTCTTCTTCTGATATGAGATCAACCTAGACATGAAACTTAACACATCCCCCCTCACATGTGAACCACATCAAGCTTCAACTCCCCCTCATTTGCTATTCTGAGAACCAAGTGCAAAATGCTTTTGACAAAGGCAACACAATTCCTATATCATGAACCCCCTTCGGGGAGCCTAAATTTCTACGTTCATTGAGAGCCTTTGTTTTTGAATGTGAGTGTACGAGCCGTATCTTACTCTATTCCATTGAAGGTCCAACGGTCAACCACTTACAACCACCACAATACCAAGACTCTAAATGCAAGAGCCCATCATCATTCATTTTCCAAGCTCCATTAATCCCAGCACACCACACTCCAAAAGCTTACCCAAGAACAGCCAGAATGCTTTTACTTGTCATGCTTGTTCCAATTTCATGTGTCATTATATGATTGACCCCACAAGTTTAAAACCCGTCACAACTTTTTAAGATGAGTAAACTAATGAGCATCTACATATATAGCCTAACGAGTACCATGTGGGACAAGTTCGTACCCTTGACACCAAGGATCAAAATTTTGTTTCGAAATGGGCTGAAACGTTTCTATTTTCAAGGAGACCAAAACGAAATAGTAATAGAATCGAAGATGACTTTTATTAGTTCTCTCGGATTGACACTTTAATGAATAGGAGATCAATTATTCTAATACTTTGAGATGTTTTGTAATGTTTCAATGCATTTGCATAATTATTTTAGAATATTTCAAGATACTTTGGTATAATTTAACCAATATTTTAGAAAACTAATTCTTAAATTTTTTTATTTTTTTCATTTTGTTTCCAAAACGGATCAAAACGTTTCTGAAACACGTCAAAGCGTTTCCGTTTTTCTAGGTGACCGAAACGAAATTTTGATCCTTACTTGACACCACATCTCACTTCCTTTCAACTCACCTCATCCATCTTGATTATTGATCACAAGAATCTTTGGACTCTTGTCATATCAGTCTCTTGGCTATCACAATTTACCCCTTAAAGGTCGTACATTCTCGCGTGCATCCTGTTCGAACCACCACAAGTAAGACCAACCCTGATACCACCTTGTAAGTTGTAACTCACTATGAAAGATATTATTCGATTTAGGCTAAGTCTGCCCATAATAGTAAGGTAAGCCAACCATACAAATAATCCAACAATCTTTTCTTTTCCAGATGATGTGAGTGGGAATAAGGGCATTGACACCATCACCTAATGTCATCAATCTTGGCCCTAGGCCTTACGACTCTTGGATGTTTGGACTTTCGCGTGTTGGTCACATGGCTTCCACAATCCACTGGTCTGTTTTTGAAAGAAAACTTACCACATCTATACTCACAAACTTTCCCTTCTTTGGTTCATGTCGATTTTTTTTTTCCTTGATGGTTTGTCTTTTTCTAAATTTTAGAGTGTTAAAAAGTTACCCTTTGATTTTATTTCAATTTTTTGTCTTTTATGATTTTTTACTCCGTCATAATCTTGCTTCTTAATCTATTAGAGTGGTCCTGTTAAATTGCATATATGATTGGAGTTAGAATTCTTAATTAAGTGCTAGATTGCTCATGATTGCTTGCTCATAATTGTACTACCAAAAATTGTTAATTTATTGAACAGAAACTTGTAGTCCTCGTTGCCTTGCCAATGTAGAGAATTCCCAATGTAAAAATATGTTCTTGTTATCTACAATATGGGCTTTTGACGACCCCACATCTCGCACGTAGGCCCCAATAGACCTTCATGAATTAGTGAAGCAAAAGTTGATTTGATATATCCATTAGCCATGAAATTGAGTAGATTCATACCATTCAATCCTATGAAGCACTAAGACGTCATCTGGTCACATATCGATGTCCGACAAACCTGGGACAAGGACGCGTTTATCAGACCCTATAAATAGTGTCTGAATTTTATAATTTTTTTTGAACTTCGAACACATTCCAAAACACATTATAAGGAGGCATATGAACGTGTTTGGAACAATTTTCGACCAATTTGTAATCTTGTTAAAATCACTGGTGTTTTTTTCTATTGCAGAATTACACGGAGCAAAGATACGGCCAAGAAAAGCAAAAAAAAAAACAAAGGAGAGTCGCACAGCACTAGGAAGACGAAGATCATAAAAAATAGCCACAACCCATGTGCTTAGGAACAACAATCGAAATATCGTTTCAAAGAACTATTTCGGTCAATTCAAAAAGGGAAACGCTTTGAAAACACAATTAAAATACAAAAAAAATATAAAAACACATGAAAACACAAATACAATCCATTTATTTATAAAGATAAGCTAAATAATTGATTAATTCAACATATTTATTGGATTAACATCCATTTATACAAGAATAATTTTAAATTGTTGAAAAAATTCACATGTATAACACTTTTAAATTAAAATATTATCCAATTAATAATACTATTTTATTATAATACTAATTTAGTGATAAATAATACTAACACTTCGTACACCATATTATTATAATACTAATTGGTGCAGCATATTATTTTAATACTATTTTATTAATTTAAATTGCGTCTTCAAATTAATAAATAATATTATTTCATTAAAATTAAAATCATTGTACACACAATTTGTACACACATAAATACTTAATTCTAGATATTCAATAAATAAGGTATAATTAATAAAATGACTTGCAATTATTTAATATACCAATTTAACAAATGATAATAACATAAAAGAATAATTACAAAAAAGGAAAAAAAATAATGAAGTGTATTAAATGAAATTAATGGTACTTATGTATACTTAAAAATTAAAAGTTATAATGCAGTAGGGTATTAAATATAATTTTTCATACTTATAACAAAAAAATATAAACAAAAAAAAGAAGACTGTGAAAGAGTCGATCGTAACTTTCTCTCACCCACGAACATAGACAGAGACACAGAAGAGAAAAAGGCGAAGGCAATGGGCAATGTTATGTCGATGCCGATGCCGATGCCGATGCCAAAGAGAGAAGGGAGAGAAGAACNAACAAAAAAAAGAAGACTGTGAAAGAGTCGATCGTAACTTTCTCTCACCCACGAACACAGACAGAGACACAGAAGAGAAAAAGGCGAAGGCAATGGGCAATGTTATGTCGATGCCGATGCCGATGCCGATGCCGAAGAGAGAAGGGAGAGAAGAAGNCAGAGACACAGAAGAGAAAAAGGCGAAGGCAATGGGCAATGTTATGTCGATGCCGATGCCGATGCCGATGCCAAAGAGAGAAGGGAGAGAAGAAGAAGAAGAACATATCTGGGAGCTCCTGGCTCATGGGTCGCAGCTCATAGCGATGAAGACCTAACTTCCAAGCCCTAGATCTGCGTGGAGAGAGGCTAGATCTACTCAAATCTGGATTCAAGGAGAAAAGCCACTAAACTCTTCTCCTTCAATTTTTGTTGTGTAGTTTGTATCTGTGTCTTTCTCTCTCTTCGATTTCGTCTGGTGTGCCTTTTTCTCTCTTCTCTACTTTTTTTTTTTTGTTTGCTTGGAAGACCTGAACCTATGTACATGTGATTTCTAAAAAAATTTGAGATTTCTGTGTACATGTGATCTCTATTTTTTTTCCCTTTTTTGTTGGCTCGGAGGACTTTGGCCTGGGGTATTGTCGAATGTATACATTGTTTCGTCGAAACGGAACTGTTTCGNTTTTTTTTTGTTTGCTTGGAAGACCTGAACCTATGTACATGTGATTTCTAAAAAAATCTGAGATTTCTGTGTACATGTGATCTCTATTTTTTTTCCCTTTTTTGTTGGCTCGGAGGACTTTGGCCTGGGGTATTGTCAAATGTATACATTGTTTCGTCGAAACGGAACTGTTTCAACTGAAACGGTCAGACTTTCGACCGAAACTTTAGAATTCTGAGATTCAAGTAATATTTCGTATCGATGTGCTGAAAGTCCAAAATGTTTCAAACATTCTGGACGAATCGACACGACATTTCGATCTGTGCTTAGGAACTAGCCGAGAGATTCCACTACTTTGTTGTGTATTAGAGCTTTTAGAAAGGGAGAGATGAGAAGAGAGAGATGGGAAGTTGCAAAGAGCAAGGTTTGAGGTTTGACTTTTGAACCAAAAGAAAACATTAATATAACAGATTGAGTGTTCTGTTTTATTAGCCACATTCAATGGTTGATTGCTCATCAAGTTTATCTCTTATCTAAATATATCTTACACAAACTTATTCGAACTTTGCTACTGGGCTATGAGCGAGCAGCACCCAAGAGATTGTAGACTTTTCTTTTTGGTCTTTTGTTTAGTGAAATGGGCGTTATGCAAGGAATTGGATATATGCCAAATTTTGGGCCATAATGTTTATATTTTACACACAATTTTGCCAAATTTACGTGTTCGGGTAAAATTTGTGAACTTGAAATTTAAGAACTCATGATCATACAAAATATACATTATTCCAATTAACATGTCTGACCTACATTTTAGAAACTTGCCATGTCCGCATGTTCATTTCGTACAATATTCGTGTCCCATGGAGAATTCTCAACTCCAATAAATTAATGAGACCCACTTTGCCCATGGTTGAAAAGATGTGTCTATTTGCCCAAGCCAATAGCTTCCTATGGAAACAAAAAGAGCAAGAGTTGACCTCTATCATCAATATCGCATCATCCGTTCCTGCTAGCAACAAATCCAATTTCGAGTCCTCCATCTCCTTGGTTGTCGGATTCACAATAAACTTATCACCAATGAGACCAACTCGGATTCCTGCAATAGCTTTTGAATTTGGCACTTCTGAAAGAGCTCTGTTGTATTTAAATAATTAGGAATACAGAATAAGCACATAGAAATACCATCAAAAGGTACCACAAAAACAAAGGCAAAGAGATAAATCAATCTTACACTGCAATTCCAGCTGCTGTTATTGCCAAAGAATCTGGGGCATGCAAACCATCATAGCTCAAGACCTGCAAGAAATGGGAGAAATACATTCTTTTCTGGGTGAGATACAAAAGTAGCCAAGGAACTGAATAATTACCAAAATTTAGGGCAAAGAAGCTAAGGAAACATATGAATTCAAGATGAAGCTTGCTTAAAGACATGAAAACACGGTGCAAAGCATGAAAAATCAAAAATTCACATAACTTTTTAGAGAATGGCATCCAAAAGAAATAAAGATGTTCTAGTGTAAGCTATATCAAATCCCAACCTATTACTATCTTCTTTATATTATGAATCCATCAAAAAAGAGAAATCAGCCAGAGTAATATTTGGATCAAGGTAATATAGAGACTATATTATTGTTAAATTACAGCTATTAAATTACAATATGGACTTTATTAAATTATGCGGGGATTACAAAATATTTTTTTTGATTAGTGTGCTATTATGAATTATATATTGGTATCATTGAATTTGTAGGTTTCTTTAAGGGTATACACAATGTCAAATTTGTTTGATTTAAGCCACAAGTCTCTTCCATATATTTATTTAAGGACAAAATAGAAATTCAAAAGTTTTTTACATTTAGATCAAATTATTAGTGCGAGGTATAAATGTCCTTATAATTTTGTTTAAGGGTAGAAGAGGAATTTAAAAGTTTTTCATCTAATGTACTTTTATTAGTAGTATAGATAAAGCAATCATTTTTCACAAAGTGATCACTTGGAAAGTCATTCCTTTCACTTTTTAACTTTCTTGGAATTCTCAAATTACAATCTACCATGTCTCTTTTATAACCAGCCTTTTACTCCCCCAATAACTACCTTTTATTTGAACATACCCTATGAATTCCTATAATTAATTATCTGATGTCTATTATTGGGGATGACCGAAGGGACTGGCTGGGAAAAGAAAATTAAAGGAGATGACAGGTTATACATCCCCTGCTTCGCACAGGTGCGAGTTGCTAGCATCAACGAAATAAACAATATGTATGTCAATTATAACATATGATACAAAAAGAACTAAGTAATTTAGATGAGCAGCTACAAGCAAATAGGAATCCCCATGAGCTAAAACGATTGTGAATGAAAAATAATCACAAAGGTAATATGAAAAGAAACTTCCAAGCAATTAAAGACTCTTGATTATTGCATAGAGAGATACCCAAGATAGTATTTGAGTTTCATGGTAGAAGCCCTTAAGCATAGTTGGACGCAAAGGCCTATCGATCAATCTACAAATAAGAACCTGCATGCAACAACATAATACAGTTAACGAACATAGATATTTGGCCATGTTCTTACAATAAAGCAATACTACATATGTTTGAGAAGTAATAAACGATAGCTGACTTCTGTGCTGCAGCATCCTAGCAAGTGGCAAATTTAGTATTTGCAGCACATTAAAAATAGACTAAAATAGCTGGTTTCTAGCCATGTTCTACTAAAATAGGACAATGCGGACTGAAGAGAGGTTGACAATGTCGACCAGTTTGGTCAGTCTCAAGTTCAAACACTGGCTACTTTAGTTTCTTATTTTTGTCAATTTTTCTTTTCCTTTTTTTTTTTTTTTTTTTTTTTGGGTAAGGAGAGCTTTAGAGAAGACTGAACGCTGCTAACCGTCTCTAGTCAGCATGCACAAAAAATGAAACTGATTGCTATGGAGAAACTGGCTAAAAATAGTCGGTGGTAGAGTCACCACCAAGCTTAGCTCGAAAGCTTGATCATACCTAGAGGCTATCCGAAGCATACCTATAGGAAATGGATAAGGTTGAACATATATCTTAGTGCTTAACTATGCAGCGAGCATATCAGCCCTACAAGTGTAGGAACTCTCAGCATGGGCAGATGAGTGCTAGGNTTAAATTTTTTTTTTTTTTTTTTTTTTTTTTTTTTTTTTTTTTGGGTAAGGAGAGCTTTAGAGAAGACTGAACGCTGCTAACCGTCTCTAGTCAGCATGCACAAAAAATGAAACTGATTGCCATGGAGAAACTGGCTAAAAATAGTCGGTGGTAGAGTCACCACCAAGCTTAGCTCGAAAGCTTGATCATACCTAGAGGCTATCCGAAGCATACCTATAGGAAATGGATAAGGTTGAACATATATCTTAGTGCTTAACTATGCAGCGAGCATATCAGCCCTACAAGTGTAGGAACTCTCAGCATGGGCAGATGAGTGCTAGGTTGGCTCTTACCATTGATCTTTTGATGAGCATGGAGGTATGTCCCTAGGGGTAGGTCCCAAGACTTTGTCTTTGTTAGGAATTTGAATGCAATTGGAAAAGAGATCACTTGTACATATATCTCAACTAAATCCATGGTCATGATGCTTATGAAGATTGAAGACTAAAGCAACGTGTGATGAAGAAGCTCAAGCTACATTGCAACATAAGAAGACTTCTTGGAATACATCAACCTTGTGCGAGGTAAGAGACCTAGATACCTAGTTGCATTAGTTTGGTTTAACAGGTGATAAAAATGGATTTAGCAATTTAGATTTAAATCCATAGCATGACTCTCGTATTAATGTTGAAAAATATTCTGAAACTTTAAAGGTAGGTTTTGAAACAACATAAAGTCATGGTAAGCCTCTGGGCACCCAAAAAGTTGAAGAGAGCAGTGGTTTCGGTGAAGAAATTCGTGAAGACCGCTCTCTAAGCGCTCTAGAAGTTGTGGAAAATATAACTGAAATTGCAAAACAATAGACACCACTCTCTGCGCGCTCGAGTGGCCACTATTCGCAGCATGGATCAGATTTTCCAATAGCAAGCGCTCTCTAACTGCTCTTTGAGCATTCAAGGGCTAGTTCAGTGATTCGACAGTTTTGCTCGTCAAGAAGTCTATATTTTCCACATCTATAAATATTCGTAAGTGGTGTTCAACTAAGGCACACCTCCAAGGGTTTCAAGAGAGCTTGAGAGAAGAGAAGGAGACCAACAATAGTTGTTGGGACTACAGCTTGTACTAAATGAATAAAAGCTCAAAATACTAAAATTAAAGCTACAATTGTAATGTCCGGAAACTTTTTGTGCTCATTGAGGCCATGCAAGTAAAAGGGTGTAGAACTCAGGATGAATGTCAAAAACAAAAGGAAAGATCAAAATAGGACACTCACTAAATGGTGTTGCCTTAGCTTATCGGATATGTTAAGGAATCCATGTAGACATGTCTTAACTTCTTAATCTAGACGGATTCCAAAACCGATTGGAGTTGTTTTCACACACTTAACACAAGTTAATTAATATTTAGCAAAATTTAAATAGGTATGAGTGATCATCAAAACCAGAATTTGTTTAGGAAATTGCACTAATAATGCATGAATATATAGTTCAACATTTTTTCATATAGGCCTCAAAGAGATTTATCGGATCATGAAATAAGAAGGGAACTGAGATTTGATGAATTTAATGTGATTTTGATGACCAATGATTTAATTTGATTTTTCATGTTCAATTGAAAATCACATCACATATGGATTTTATTTCATCTGTGCATGTGTTTCAAAATTTTGAATTCTTTCAATTCCATACAGTCATGCATGTTTATGAAATTTTAGGGGACTAGAAGACATTGAATTCATGGGATCCAATATCGACCAAAAGGCCCATAGCTCTAACTTCCCCAGTGCACGAGCATTATAGGTGTCAAACATGTCAGATTGGGTCATTTCGTGTCACGTTGATTTGGAGTTTGTGTCGAAAATCCTAAAACACAAATCTGACTTGTTTAATAATTGTGTCGAGATTTGTAATTATTAACCTGACTTGGACATCAAACGGGTTACTCGACCCAGACCTGTTGACACGTTGAATAAACAAATCGTTTTTGGGTTAACACATAATGTGACATGTTTAACCAGTTTAACACACATAACACGACATCTTTGACATACAGAATCTGTTTCCACACTTGTTCATTATCATTAAATATATCATTCAATCATTCATTCAAAATTTTAAAAAAAAATTTACCAAAAACATATATGAAACTAACTAAAATGCATTCAAGTTTCAACCCAAAAATTAAAACAAAAACCATACTAATATATTGCTATAATAATGTTAAGAACTATAATATCAATTATCATAGTAAAAGTAAACTAATAAGTAATAATGTTAAGACCACAACAGTCATACATAATAGGCAAGTTATACTACCATAAACAAGTTATACGAGTCTACAATGGGATAGGTTGGATTTGTGTCCGAATCATGTCAACCTATTTAATATATATTAATTAATCTGGTCAAAATCGGGTTGACTAAATTTTGACAAAAATCCGACGTAATTTTTTTCGTGTTGACCCGCTTTTACCCATTGAGCCGTTTAATTTCGTGTCTGACCCATTAATTTCGTAGATATTTCGTACCGTGTCCCGTTTTTACCCATTGAGCCATTTAATTTCGTGTCTGACCCATTAATTTCATATACATTTCATACCGTGTTAACATGTTATGTCAAAAATCGACAGCCCTAACGAGCATAGATTTTATACTCGATTAGTACGAAAGTTGAGATGGTTTTACCCNTCTGACCCATTAATTTCATATACATTTCATACCGTGTTAACATGTTATGTCAAAAATAGACAGCCCTAACGAGCATAGATTTTATACTCGATTAGTACGAAAGTTGAGATGGTTTTACCAGACTTGATTTAGGGGTTATTCATTGTGTGTTTAAGACTGGTAGATTGTTAAATGATTTATCATTTGGCTCACATATCACAAAGATTTGTTTGGATACGGATGCTAGATCCTTGGATAATGATCAGATGAAGCTCCCACAATGCGACAAAGCTTTTCACATACTAGATTGGTGTATGATCTAGAGGGTGCAGAGGCTAAGGGAGTTGGTGCACAGGAGGATCCAACATCCCCTTCTGCACTGGTCTTTCATCTTCGAGAGCAACACCACCAGTTGTTGTTCACTTGAGTTGTCATGGTGAAGAAGATGATAGTGTTGGAGATGTTGATGTTGTTCACATTGATCAGAAAAGACAATAAAAGAAAGAGAAGAAAAAGATATTATTATTACTAAATAAGTTTGTAACGCAACTTAACTCAATGTATGCCCTTATATAATAAAACAACACAAAATAAAGTACATGCCTAAATTACAGTCAATATTAATTCTCTAACACCCTCCTCAAATTCATGATGTGGTGGATAACATCGAGGGTTTGCCGAAAGCATGCTATGGTGTGAGATTTCATAAAAAAATTCGATTGCTACATGGTGGAAGGAAGAAAAGAAAGAGTGATAGTGCACCGTAGAAAACGGTGGCACACAAAGTCACAATCAATCTCAATGTGCTTTGTATGCTCATGAAAGCCTGGGTTGTGAGCAATCTGAATAGCACTAGCATTGTCACAGTATATAGGAATAGGAGTAGGAGTAGGAGAAGTTATGGAAAAGCCAAGCTTAGCAAGTAGCCATCGTATCTTAACTACCTCTAGTGCGATAGATATAATAGCATAATTCTCGGCTGCTAAGGATCAAAATATCATTTCGAAACGGTCGAAACGTCTGAAACGTTTTCGTTTCCAAGGAAACCGAAATGAATTAGTGATGAAATCGAAATTCTAATATATCTTGGTATTTCATAATGTTTCGAGATGTATTATAATATTTTAATGCATTTGCATAATTATTTTGGAATATTTCAAGGTATTTCAAGATATTTTGATATATTTAAATCAATATTTTAAAAAAATAATTTTTTATTTTTTTCGTTATATTTCCAAAACAGCTCGAAACGTTTCCGAAACACATTGAAACGTTTCCGTTTTTTAGGTGACCGAAACAATACACCAAAACAAAATTTTGATATTTGTCAGCTGCTTCAACGAAAGAACGAGCAACAATTTGTTTCTTACTTTTTCAAAAAATAAGAGAACCTCCAAGAAAAAGACAGAAATCAGTGGTAAACTTGTGAACCATAGAGTTACCAACCTAGTCAGCAATTGAGTAAGGAGAAGTAAATATTCGTAGAAGAGACAGCATTAGTCCTGCGAACAAAAGTATGCGCAATAAGAGGACGCGTAAAAAACATATCAAAAGAAGAAGAAGAAGATGATGACGACAAATCCGACACATTTATATTACTAACATATATATCGCGATTAGTACAGAAGAGATCAATGTAAATGAGATTAGATTTATGCACTAATGAAGAACAAGAGAAAATCGAAAAGAAAGGAATATGTTCCATAAAGAACACATGGCGACGGGCATAAAGTTTGTGGCCAATAGGATCATAACAACGATGCTCTTTTTTACCCTCACTANCTGCTAAGGATCAAAATATCATTTCGAAACGGTCGAAACGTCTGAAACGTTTTCGTTTCCAAGGAAACCGAAATGAATTAGTGATGAAATCGAAATTCTAATATATCTTGGTATTTCATAATGTTTCGAGATGTATTATAATATTTTAATGCATTTGCATAATTATTTTGGAATATTTCAAGGTATTTCAAGATATTTTGATATATTTAAATCAATATTTTAGAAAAATAATTTTTTATTTTTTTCGTTATATTTCCAAAACAGCTCGAAACGTTTCCGAAACACATTGAAACGTTTCCGTTTTTTAGGTGACCGAAACAATACACCAAAACAAAATTTTGATATTTGTCAGCTGCTTCAACGAAAGAACGAGCAACAATTTGTTTCTTACTTTTTCAAAAAATAAGAGAACCTCCAAGAAAAAGACAGAAATCAGTGGTAAACTTGTGAACCATAGAGTTACCAACCTAGTCAGCAATTGAGTAAGGAGAAGTAAATATTCGTAGAAGAGACAGCATTAGTCCTGCGGACAAAAGTATGCGCAATAAGAGGACGCGTAAAAAACATATCAAAAGAAGAAGAAGAAGATGATGACGACAAATTCGACACATTTATATTACTAACATATATATCGCGATTAGTATAGAAGAGATCAATGTAAATGAGATTAGATTTATGCACTAATGAAGAACAAGAGGAAATCGAAAAGAAAGGAATATGTTCCATAAAGAACACATGGCGACGGGCATAAAGTTTGTGGCCAATAGGATCATAACAACGATGC